CCTTTAAAGTAAGTTCAAATTCAGGAAAGGTGACAGATTAATTTCATTTCTATTCTGGATAGATAACTTCTATGGCAAGTCATTTATTTAAGTTTCGTAAAATTCATATTATTGTAGACTCATTAACCCTAACACCACATTTTTTTAAATCTAATCAATATATTGAGTTCGAGTTAAATTGTGCTTATTAGCATATAGGCAAAATTCATATTTTTAAGAGTTTGAAAGTGTTATTTTTTTTGTAGAAGATGTCATATTAGAAAAAAGAAAAATATAAAAATGTGTATAGTATAATTTTAAAACAAAAGACGTGATGAATTGATAAAATAATGTTTGCGGTATTAATTTAAACAAAAAAATAAATGGTATCATGAAACAAAAAAAGATGGTATCATATATACAATATCAAACAAAAAAGGCAACATATTTTAAATTTTTTAAAATTAAACTGTAAAATTGAAATTGCATTGAAAGTTAGGAGTTAAAAGTAGAATTGAGGGTTGGAAGTAGAATTGGAGTTGGAAGTTGAAAGTTAGAAGTTGAAAGTTTAAATTGAGGATTGGAATTATAAGAGTTTGGAGTTGTAATGAAGTTGAAGTAGATTGAAGTAGAGTTGTTGTTGCTGAAAGTTGTTGGAATTGGAATTTGTTTGAAAGTTTAGAGTCGAAAGTTGGAGTTGAAAGTTGTTGAAGTTAGAAGTTATTGAAAATTTGAATTTTAAAGGTTATGAAGAATCTCTATAAGAAATTACTAAATACCTTTCAGATTAATCAAAGAAAATGAAGGCTAAAAAAAGAAAAATATACTATACTTTTTTTAATTTTATTTTAGTTTTGAAATGATTGAATTTGCTTACTACTGGTAACTGTTCATTTTTTTTTAATATGAAAATATTATGCTGAGAGATAATCGATGATGAGATGTTTCGATAAAAGTCACGTAGTTATATTATGCATAGTCATGTGAATGCATTTAAGGAGATATTTACTTATATAGTTCAGACTAAAAAATTATTGCACAGTACAAATAGGAAGGGTGTGCATTTAGCATTAAGTCCCAAACTTGGGACTGGGCTAGTGAGTGCATTTAGATAGGGTGTGCACTCATAGAAAATGAATTTATAGAGAGTTGACTGTATTTTAAAATACATATAATAATAAATAAACTATATAAAATATATTACATATATTAAATAAATTCGATATATTAAATATATCAAACTTGTTAAATATGTCAAATATATAATGACCTATTAATATCTTTATAATACCTTTATTAGAATCCTAATGTTCTCTATTTGCACTATTATTCATTATTAATCAGGATTACCTAATGTTAAAAAAAAAATAAAAGATCAATCAGGTCAAATTTAACAACTCATATTTAATCTGATTGGTTCTCTATTTATCATTATTCAACTAGTAGTTGTTTATTAGAATAATATTTTATCATTTATTGGAATAATTTTTTTATCATTTCTTTAAAATGATGTATTATTATTCTATCAGAATGATTTTTATATTATTTCTTTAATATGAATATATATATATATAATTGAATTTTAGCAATCAAAACATATTCAATAATTTTTTTCCTTTTTTTTGAATTTTATATTTCCTTAAGATAAGAATTAAAGTTACTATTCTTTTAATTGCAAAGAAAATAAAGATATCTATTTTTAAATGCTGATTCTCTATTTAATCAATGAAATCGACTTATAATATTTTTAAATACCAATATTTTTTAGCATAACATTCTTTAAATTAGCATATTTTGATTTTTTTACTATGCTAATTGATCTTGAAAATGTTGTTTATACTAAAACTTACCCAAATCTGGCTAAATTTCAAATTTATTTTCAAAGTAATTTTTATTCTTTCTACTGCAAAACACTCATATATATCAAATATATTATTTTAGTAAAATCTTTTTAAAATTTTATATTATTTCTTTAATGGTTAATATAAAATTATTTATTAAAAATCATAAAAAAATCAAAAAGATTTTAATATCTAATGATTATAAAAAGATGAAATTTAACTTATTAGATTTGTTTAATTAAAACATATCTAATAGTACTATATCTATATTTTTAATAAAATTATTTTAGCTAAAAATATTATTAAACCTTTAAAAATATTTTATTATCTAATATTGCAAAAAAAAAAATTATAATTTAATTTATTGAATTATTTTCATAAAGTTGCATTAAATAGTAGTATTTTCATAATTTTAGGATTAATGAATAATAAGATATTACGATTTAAAATTAAATATTATTTATCATAATTCGTTACTTATTTATTCTTAAAATTATTAATTAGTAGCATTTTTTTGTTAATTTCTTAGAAAATTTTATAAAATTAAAAATAAAAAGTTACAGAATATTAATATTTAAATAAATAATTTTAAAATTTAATTAGAAATGAATTACCTTTAAATTTAGAGGCAAAACAATTTAAATAATTTAAAATATTGTATTATATAAAGAATTTTCAAAATAGAAATATTAATCTCTTTATTTTAAAAAAAATAATTACTTATACTTATATATTAATAAAAATATTAATAATTAATATTAAAATAAAAATACTTGATAAATTTTTTTATTAAATCAAAAAATAATATTATATTAAGAAAAAAGTTATTTTATTAAAGATTTTGCTTATAAAATCGAACTCTTTATACTTAGACTAATAAGATATTAAATAAATTATTATAAAAAATATATGTAACATGTTAAAATAACAATTAAATAATCTCATTAATAAATAATACTTTTTTTTAATTTGCAACGATGGCATTTTTTCGCATCATTTTTGATCATTTTTGATCATTTTTGAATATTTATTTAAATGGAAAATCGAAGTGCCACAAAATAAAAAAAAAAATGGAAAACCGGAAATTGTATTACAGTATGAAATGAGAGATTTGATTAATGTTGCACACATATATCATTAATAAATAATTTGTGATTGGAACAATTGTGTTGATTTTCCTGCGTAACGACCCGTAAAAGGGAATAACGGAATAAAATTTATTGATAAACGTTCATTGGCAAATAAATAAATAAATAAAACGAATCAAAAATCACAAAATTTTATGGATGGATTACATGCGATACTGCAAACAAGGTTATTTAATAGTTTCATCGCCGAAGTAAGAATTTGAACGTTTGGTTCGTTATTAAAGCCTTACTCAAAGCATCCTATTTGTATATTCGCGTCAAGAATTCTAAAAGATTTTAAATGCTGGAATTAATCAAGTGTTCCATTATAGATTTTAAAAAAAAATTTTTGGTATATCAATACACATGCACAGGTCCAAGCTACTCTTTTTTAAAAAATGCAATACGATTATTGTCACTATATAGGTAGATGGTTTCATATAATTTTCTTCATGATCTTAATACTCAAATGAATGTAAGGAGACACTTAACATGTGATTATATTGCATTATACAGTCAATAGGTATACAAACTAGCACCAGGAAATATTGATGATGTAAACGTTTTTTTAAATTCACATTTATTAAGTTCAATTCATTACATTCGATATAGTTTTGAGTCGTAGGTAAATAATCTTATAGCTTAGGTTTGGTATTTATGGAACAAATCTTTTTAAATAAATTGGTGTTAGTAAAGATAAATGAATATTGAATAGTAAATAATTCATCATCCACTTACTTTGAATCAATATTAATTCGCGGTATATCAGCAAGAATGTACCATGCAGTCAAATATCAGTTTGAGTATCGGAGACTACCAACCAAATAGCAATTAAGAATGATTGAATTTTACACTAGATAAGTTTGAATTTAAACAAACAAAAATGTATAAAGAGAATTCTCGAGCAGATTGGTAATTCAGGAAAATCTTAAAAACAGGTTTACAGAGCATATATGCCAACGGAAAATATTTTTACCGTAATGTAACCATGCATAATTTATTGAAATAATCACGCGAAATGATGAAACTATTGACAAAGTAATTTATATAGTCACAACATATATTCTCTCCTCGATTTACAAATATTTGTGGTAACCATTTGGTATAACCGTAGATTCAGACCGAAATAATTTTAAGAATTTCTTTTTAAAATTTTTATTATTTACTGGTTAATAATTACAAGCATTCGGAATGTCCGAAGATTTCCGAATGTCCATTTTTTTTTTTTTTTAAAAAAAAAAAAGAATTAAAAGATTTTTGAATGGTCCACACCAACCAAGAACCTATAGAAAATCTTGAAAAAAGTTGCCAAAAAAAATAGCAAAGTTACATAAGATGATGCACGTAGCCTAATACGTTACAAGAAAGAAAAAAGTTTTTTTTTTATAACAATATTAAAAAAAAATATTGAGATCAACTGTTAATATAAAAAAAAATCAGAATTCAGATCGAAATTCAAACTAAATCAAAAATACCAAAATCTCAACCAACAAGCATACAAGTTAAGTTACACTATCAAAGGACATCAGTACAGTTCGCTTTTGAATTTTAAACTCATAAAAGTCTTCATTCACATTTTTATGGTGTCCTCCCAAAAACGGTCCCAAAAAAGCATAGAACGAAATCTAGACAAAAATAATACTAGTAAACTTAAGCCTTGTACGACTCACGCGATTTTCAATGTCTATAAAGTCGAAAGTTAAATAAATAGTTTCATATGAAACGCATAAATAAGATGTCTTTCGAAGCTTCTATTCGCATATAGTCGACCCCTAAATAATCACGTTCTGTATAGTCACACCCCCACAAATGATTATGTCACATTGCTCGTTTATATAATCACAATTGTTTTTGGCGGGGTACATATAATTTAACTCGAAATAGAAAACTTTTTTTTTATTAAAGAACCTTTATTTGTTCATAGATTTTATTTATTCTTTAGTTTATTTATTTTTTTTTGAAAAAAATAGAAGATGGAAATCTAAACCAAAAGTATATGGTTTATACATACATATTTACAAGAAAAAAAAAATAATAATATAATAAAAATAATCTATTCGTCATCGTTATACTCATTTAATAATAATTGAATTTTACTGATTTTGCTTGGAGACATTGGCTCGGCATAGGAATCGCGTTCCCCGTGATTTTTACTGCTAGATGATGGTCTTTGGGCAGTATTACTTTCCTTCAGAGGGATATCATTATTTATTTCAGGTGATATCTCAGGATTAACTTTTTGAATATTCGAATTTCTTTTTTTACCCACGTAACCATTAACATTATTGACATCGTCAAAGGAAATAATGTTCCATTTTTCTCTCTTTCTACGACGAGATGATGTAAAAGATTTCGGTAACATTTCACAACGAAGGTTAAAAGCTTCTTTAGCAAGACGCTTATATTCGGATTTAACGATATCATTTTCTTTTTCCCAAGATTGAGAAGCCATTGAAGAGATAACGGTCATTGGCAAACAATAACCTTGAGAACGAGCGGTTTGAATAAATATCTTACGATAAATTATGAAGGCATTTGGAGCTCTCGTTGGAATTTTTTTATTGTCAGCATTATTCTTAGAAGATGAAACTAAATCTTGTGGATTTATGCGAGGAGGGAAAGGAGGATAAATCATTGGAGTCGAAGAATTTATGAGTTGACCTGGAACTGATGGATTGCTTGAATCTATGAAAACACAAGCACGTGAAGTAGAGTCCGCAGCCATTTTTGTTTGCTTGGTATATTCGGCTTTTTTTTTTTTGGATATTTTTTTTTTTTTTTTTTTTTTTTTTGAGATTTACATGTTCCTATAGACATATATTTATGAAAAAATTTTTTTTTAAAAAAAAAAGATAACTATGAACATGCTTTAATGTTTACATAAACAAAAGATATTTTTTTTTACGGATAAAAAAAGGAAATCTTTAATAATAGTGCAATATACAAATACAAGAAATAGAATTTTATTTAACAAGTAATACTTTCCTTATTTTAACTAAGTATTGGTTTTAAAGTTATTATTTAATATTATTAATAAAGTTTGTTATTAGTAAGACTAAAATTGAATGTGGCTATGTTGGCTAAGTTTGCTCGCTTAATGAACCAATTATTTCTTGTTTGGGCAGGTAATGCATTTGAGAAGTGTTGTTGAAAGAAACTGATGATATCTTATGTTCTTTAAAGTGCTTGATTTGTTTAAAAGATAAACTTGTATAGAATTCCTATTTTGAGAGAATATCTCCTTCGAGTAAAATCGTGTGTCGTAACTAACATACTGTATATCCTTTATATATAGAAATATTGTCCAACCATAAATAATAAAATAATTACTATAAATAAATGTTAAATCACAAAAGTATTGTTTCAAAATGAGTTTTAAACTTTAAAAAAATCCTTTTCACTCTATCGTGAAAGTTTGACAAGTCAAATAATAACAATTTACTTTTTTTAAAAAGACCTTTTATGGTAAAGTGGAAACAAATTTTATCCAAAAACGGTTTATTTATTATTATTATACTAATATTCCCGCCAGATTTTTCCAATCGTGGTAATGTTGTCGATAATTTTTTTTTTAGAATAAAGGGTATGAAATTAAGTGACATTCAAGAAAACCTTCCACATATTGATCAATAGTCGATGAATCGATTTGATCTAGGTTTCGAAAAAAGTTCTTTGTTTTTTACCTTGACGCCATTGAAGTTATGTGTGTTAAATAATTAAATATATCCTTTGACGCTAGCCCTCCCTGATGCACCTAATGATTAATTTGGCTAAACAATAATCCAAGCCCTTGAATATCATTGCAAATCTATCTTATAGTAGCTAACATCTTTGGTATACTTGATGAACAAATCAAAAGAAATATTTACTGGATCATACTTAATTAAAATAAGAAAAAAAAAATTTTTTTTCACGATTTAATTTATATTGAAACTATACACGTGATCGTATATAAAATTAGTATATGTTATCACATCAATCTTTTCTCGTTTCGGAATATATACTTTCTTTTTTCTTTCTTTTAAATAAATAAATAAACAAATAAATAAATATGTTGTTTATATTTTTATTATTTTATGAACAAAGTTTATTTTTTTTTTTACGCCCAGGTATATAAGAAAGGACCAACCAATCTTTTCCCCTTCACAATATCTTGTTTTCGTCACCATATAAAATGACAATGTGAACCAAAGAAGGTTAATGAATAAGGCGTAAAGAAATTTGGCTTACTACGTTATTTTTTATTCCCAAGATACTGGTCACACAAGGTTAATAATTTTCTTAGGATATTTGTATTACGTGTTACAGTCTTTGAAGTAATCTGTTTGTTATCTTCCACAACTTCTACAACTATCTGAACAAATATTCCAATGAGGGATCTGCACTGTAAAAAAAACGAAAACGAACTGAAATCATATTTTTAAAAAAGCTGAATAAAAAAATATTATTGAGGAAAAAACAACTTTTTTTTTAGTTAAAAATATTATTTAATATAATATCATTACTTTTGACTCTATTTCGTTATTAAAAGAGTAGCAGTAAATTTTGTTTCACTTGGCTTGGTTTTATCAACCCATTGTTTAGGAGAAAGAGAATGAATGCTGGAAGCACATGAGTCCAAACCTTTTATAGAACAACTAGACTAACTAGACTAATTCATTAGCCGACCATAACATATCGAACTATTAATTTAAGCACCTGGTCAAAAGATCTCGTCCATCACGACAGACTTAATAACCTACATTGCGAGATATAAGACCACATGATATCATGGATGGAAGCTGAATACAAGTTTTCACTGTGTGAATAGTTTCAAGAAAACAAAAATTGTGGTCCTTCTCGTATTTAATGTAAGTAAATTACTAACAACAGTTCTACTTTGTCAGTTCCGATTAAAAAAATGAGCATTGAGTACGTTTTGTTCTTTACACAGAGGGTCGACCAAATCCTTGAATGATTTGATAACATCTATACATAATTAATGATTGAATGGTATAAATATTTTTTTTCATCAAAAATGTTTAATACTGAATGAGGAAAGCAAACCTTCTTTATCTTCCATTGGGTATTTTCTCCTAACATTAAATACGAGGTAATGCTTTATTTTTTCGTCAATTATAATAAAATAATTATTTTTTTTATTCGTTTAACAAGAGAATTTTATTATTCTTTTTTTTTCGATAGGAACGTTTTGCACTTTGGATTTATGCAAAGTGTGTGAAATGATCTGTTTTTTAAAATCATGGATTGATTGCTAAAAAATAAATTGGGTTGTAACTCGTTTTTACAGTTTAGACCAGATCATGTAAATGGTTGGAAAAAAATTTATTTCTACTTGATCATTTTGTTTTTTTATTAATCCGATTAAAATATTTATTTTTTTGTATATTTTTTATGTATAGTACAACACAAAAAATTCTTTACTATTTTGTGGTATTGAAAATAAATTAAAATTATTTGAAAAATGATTGCCAGTTGCTATATTAGGGCGTGACAAATAATTGGCAATTATTGTTGGAGAAATAGTCGATATATGATGCCGCGTGATAAATACAAGCACTAATCCTCATATCCTAATCCTAATGTCCTTACCCTAATAATAATCCTAATACCGTAAAGCACGCTATATAATACCCCCTGTATATAATCCCCCGACTAAGAATGTAAAGTACCAGGGTACTATACATCGCGAATTACAGGTCTCCCCGGATCGATATACCTGATATAACTCCACTATCAATTTAATAAATCACAATACAGCGAAAATTTATCAAATTATTTATATCTCGCTACATTTATTACCTTTTTACTTATATAGTTGATTTGTATTGTACCCCATTATTATACCTTGAATTTTTGTAGAATGTAAATACCCGGGAACTACAGAGCTTTCTAACTACCCAAGAAATAAATTCGGCTACCACTTTTTTCTTGGTGACGCTACTTAGTCGCATGATATGTTATTTTAACCCAAATTTCATTTATAATTATATTATATTGAATTGATTTTGGAAAAATTAAAAACCTAAGTATTTTAATCTGATATTTCCATATACATCTAACATTCCTTCTCTTTGTGATTTCACTGTTATGAATTAAAGTAGTACAATGAATCAATTGATATTAATGAATTTAAACACATTATTTAATTATTTAAAAAAAAACCCCCTATCTTGATGCAATAGTAAGACTAATACTAATTTAGTGGTTAGATCCGGATATCCGTTTATCCGTGTTTATCTCATCCGTGAACAGAAATGGGCTTTTACAATCCAAACAATATTTTGATTTTCCCCTCTTTCTATTGCAAAGGACCCAATGAACTTTTTACAGATAACCGGAAATTATTCGGATTTCTGTAACATCCGTATAAAAACGGATCCGTATTTTGTTTTGTTTTAAATTGGCGCAGTGATTTAATGAAACTGTTTCATAAATTATTATATTTAAAATTTTATTGACAAATTATATAAATAAAGTTCAAGTTTAAATAATATTTTTTTCGTTTAAAACCTCTAAGTTCTTTTGTTTACGAATTTAGTTATCATTAGTATTTGAATAAAGCATATTTTATAAATATGATTAGAGCTTCCAAAATATTAAGTAGATATACAGTATAATATTCAAAGATATTTTAATCTAATAATTTCATAGCATTGCGTAGTAAATAAATTTAATCTTTGGTAATTTTTAAAAAGTTTTTTTATAATAAATACTGAGAATATAAGCAGCATAATAAAAATTGATTTTTTAAAATAGATTTAGTCTTTAATGCTAGAATTTAACAATCTAAGTGCAACATTAATGTTGAAATTTTTTATTAAATTTACTGCAGAACTTTAGCTCATATGTTTACGGCACTCTGCTGTCAATTATTAATGACTTGTTGTTAATAAAATATGCGATTTGAAGATTTTAAAGTTCAAAATTCTATTTATCTTAATTTATAAAAATAAAGTTTCATCTCATCTATATACCATATAAAAAATCAAGTTCTAATTATTGAATGTTTGGATATCCAAATTGTTTTAAAAAAACTCCAAGAAATAAATCAATCGATTGAATATAACTTCTAATGTGATTACGGATATTTTTAATTTACTAATTTTTCTGATTGGCTGGTATAATTTATATTAATTAGGGTTAGTTAGGATTAGGGTTAGGGTTAGAGTTAAAGCTTAGATGATTTATCACCGGCGGGCGTGACACCGGACCGGTAGTGTTTCAATTTCTATTAAGTACAATATCTGAGGGACAGAAAATTTTTTGGGTGGTGATGTTTATTTGTCATCAGGGTACATGACAATTAACATATTTTATTCAGAAAAATGGTAGTAAATTAGTAAAACCACACAGATATCCAATAGCTTAACCACGGATGTCTGCAAGCTAAAGATAACTGCATATCTGAACGACAGCATAGCGGACATGCTTATATCACTATATCGATCATATATATGAATTATCACATTATATTGTCTAGATTTTAAGCATCGGATAAAGCTATAGTTTCAAATAAATAGCAATAATTATTATATTTAATTATTTAAAATATAATATAAAAATTATATAGTAAAAAAAAGATAACATGAGCTGAAATTTTTAATAATTCGGCTATATGCCGATCATGCTGATCATATACCGATCTTAATTTTGAAGTTTCAGGCGCCACAGATCTTCAGGCGCAACCTGAAAATTTCATCATATTATAAGGTAAAATGAAAC